CCTTCATGTCTTTTACGCACAGAGGCCAAAACAGCCAATTCCTGGTTCACCTTCTTTTATGTAAGTGGATTTAAAGTAAGATTAACAAACTGTCAAAAAGCATGTTAAATGATAGCCTCTGCTAGTTAAAAATTCTGATGGTTCTAAAACTCTGTTGGTGGCCATCTTGGCCTAGGAGCTTTAATATAAATGAGACTGGTGAAGGCAGGGGATGGGGGAAGGAGTCCTTATGGCCAGAGCAGTACAAGGGGAGGAAGAGGTTATTAAAAACGAGCAGTCCCTACAGAAAGAAAACACCTAACCTGAGCAGAATTTGTGTTTTAACATATGCATCTACACCGAGAAACACACTAGAAAAAGAAAAATTGTGCTCTGCCCATTTTAGGGATGGAATTTCATTACTCCGTAGATATTTTCTGAAGAAGATACTAATACTTGCAATGTTAACTCCTATCTGATTATTGCATCCACATCTTGCTCCTGAGCCGGACCGGCTATGTTCATTTCTGTACACCACGAGTCCCTCTGAACAATGAAGCAGTGCAGCATACATAGGGAGATCTACACAGCCAGCACGTATCCCATTTTATATTGAAATACCGAGATGGCCATTTGCACGTCTTCTGGGTACCCCCACCAGTACCACCGTGCAGAAGGGGTTTGCGTTACGCTTCAGGCGGACTCGCCTGGAAGAAGTGCAGCTTCGCGCCTGAAGCAAAACATGGGTCACTATCCGCTGAAAACAAATTTCCTCTTTATTCTCCAGTGATGTCATCTGTTGGGTGGAAATGCGACCGCTCACCGCAGCGCAATATCTACCCTCAGTTTCACCGGGTCACTCCAGCAGCAAAGCCCCAGGACGACTTTCGGGACGGGAACGGGTCTGGACCCCAGGTCCCATCCGCCGATTCGGGTGCAGAATGCAAACAGCCTCCTTCCATGGCGCGGTGCCCCCACAAAAGGCCAGCTCCCATCCTGCCGCCCAGCCGAAGCCCCGAGCTGTTAACACTTATGGCAGTTCCCATACTTGGGGAGAAGCGCTGTCCCCCGCAGAGCGCGCCACCGCGGACCCCACACCGCACCTCTGAGCCTGGGGCGCAGCGGAATTGTTCTCCTCCAGCGCGCGGACCTGCTTAAAATGGGAACTGCCACTGGACACGCAGCTAGGCAGTTGGGCAGCAGATCAAGCTCAGAGGGACGCTATTGTATTTTTTTTAAGAATAAAATGCAAAACTGAACCAAACGAATGAAAATTATAGGGTGCCTTAACCTCACAAATTTTTTCCACTGACTTACTTTTTTTTTTAATTAGAGGGCTATAAACTGGCCTCCACTTCAGTGCAAAATATTTAATAAATGTCTCTACCTTCATAGCTGAAATCCAAAATGACAAGAGAAAGGGAATGAAAAAGAGCCAAGCATTCCGAGGATGAAAAAGCACTGCGATGAACACCCCCGATATCCTTAAGATGAAAAGGGGATGTGATGGCATGTCCTTTGGAACACAGACCATATTTCTCTAGGTTTGTGGAACCTCTGGCATTTAGAAAGACAAAGTTGTAAGCTAAGCTTCCTAATAATCTACGACAAAGAGCTTTACAAGACCTCCAAATGCCTTGTCTGTGAAAAAATAACACATATTATTTGGACTGCAGTAAGCTATGATCAAAACTGTCTATCTTGGATCTGCCAATGAAGTCCTTGTGTTATTATTTGAATTGATAATAATAACCTCTTTGAGAAACATAAGCGGGTATCAAACCCAACCTATTTATTGCAAATAAATACCTATATGAAGAAAAAGTTAAAATATGTTTTGACAAACGTAATTTCCCTTTTCTGATATAGGAGAAATACACAGAGAGCAGGCACAATGAAAATGATTTGTAAAAGTTTTAAATCACCATCTTAAAGAGGTTATTAAATATTATTTTAAATCACAGTGGGAATTGGATTGTTCTGCTGACTTTGATTGGTTTTTTTCAGAATAATTTTAGTTAACAGAGTTGAAAGAACAAGTTTAAAGAAACTAACTTCATCCACTTATAAAGCTTTGATTATCATAGAGCCTTCAAATTTAAGCTTCATTGAATACAATATGATAATCTTTTTTCTATCAAAAGCCAAATTAAAATATTCTGCTTATAATCCTTTTTGCCATTTCAACTGCTCATAAGATTTCTTGCACTGGCAGTCGATTTTGGTTGGAATAAGACATTTCTGCCCATACAACAAATTATTTGTAATGTGCCAAAATTTGTCACCACAGCTAATGTAAACAAAAACCTACCACCATCCATAACAGCCGAATGGATTTATTATTTAGTCATTGTTCTAGTCAATCCACATTTCTGTGCAGGGGCTTCAAGAAGTCAATAGATGGCAGTCCATCTCTTAGGAAAGAGCCAGATAATGAATAAAATCACCAAACGCTTCACAAAAGAGAAAGGTGGAAGGCTGTGTGGTTTTTCACAAGCATTCACAGTAATTAACTAAGAATACGTTATATAATGCAAAACATTTAGACAAACTTTGTAATGGCTGTCTGGAAGCAACATTATAAAAATGGTCTTTTATTACAAACCTGAATGCCTTGTTTTATTTGCGCTTATATGTACCTGCAAGTGTGACACTCATGATCAATTTACCAAAATCAATTTAAATGTAGTGGTTGTATTCATGGCTAAAGCACAGGAAAAACTCACTGTAGCCTTAGTCTGTTTGTGAATAATCAGGCAGCCTCTGCAGCACAGCACCAACCACAACAGTACTTTTTTTTTAAACTTCTATTATTTTTCTTTAAATTGTTATCCTGTTTGTACAGAAATATTTCTTCTAAACTAGGAAAATTATAAACTAATTTCTATAGTGAAATACTACTATGCTGATATGAGAGTAAAAGATCTCGAATTTTTAGTTGCAATTCTATAAATACATACATAATATACATTATTCTAACAGAAGTTTTGATTCTTGTGAGAACTCTGTTTACTTCTGTTTTGGGTACAGAAGAGAACATTTATCACACATTTAAACAATTCAGATAATGCAGTTTCTTGAGGTATAACTTATTTTAAATATCAAGCATGTCTTTCACCACACAAATTTTTAAATTCCACGCTTAATCTGACTACTAATATAAATTTGAGTCAAAGTGAGTCTTCCCATGCAAAAAATGGAGACGTGCAAAGCATTTCCCACATACCAGAAATGTGGATATTTTGCAGATAATTTGCAGTTCACTGCAAAATAAAAAATTAATTATCAGTAGCTAGGGTCTCACTTAATGTCAATTTAACTTTGCGTGCCCATATTTGATCACATTTCAAAATGGCCCTAAAATGCACTAAGAAGTTCCAAATGGGTACTTTTAATAATACACTTGTATTCATAACTACTACATTTTCTAACAAGAGCTTGTTTTGACAAATGTTGTTAGCTTTACACTAAGTAAAGTGTAAACTCTGAACACTTTCTACAAAATTCACAGGTAAAATTTTCTACCTCAGACACCTCAAATTCTGCCCTAGTAACCGCTTAGTCAGGTTTAAGCTCCTCCACATTTTTTTACAAAAATAACTATTTTCTAAGTGTTGATTGCAATTCACTTTTTGAGGAATTTTCAATGGCAAGCAAGACTAAAATTAAATTAAATCTTATACCTCAGTAAAAACCAGAACCCAACATATTAGTGCATCTAATATAGCCATCTGATTATTAGATTCCAAATACAATAAGCATTTCAAAATCGTTTTTACATGCACCCTTAGGAATTATAATGAAAGACAGTATTTATCTTTTTCCTTCATGCAATTTTAAAAAAGCAAACAAAAATACTCAGTGAATGCACCTTTTGCTCATAATGTTTTTTTTTTAAAGTCTATACCAATTCTGTTTAAAAGAAAAGTAAATGCTCAGAAAGGGTGGACTATTTCCAAACCAGATCTTTGTTTTAAAAGCATTATGCAGAAAATACAAGCAAGGGATTTTAAGCACAGATTTCTCCTATTCATTGAATTTAGAAGCAAAAACAGAAAAAAGAGCATTCCACTACCATGAAGAGGTGGAGGCAACAAATTATAAAGCACATCCCATTTATTGCTCAAAAGAAAAAGCCCACACCAAAGACTTGTAAAGAAAAGTAGTGGACAAACTTTTCTACTTTGTTTTGAACGGACAGCAGTGATTAATTATCTGTAACAGCTAAATACATATGTGGTTGATCTGGATAGCAATGACAGCAAAGATTCAGATGAGCAGCAAAAATCCTAATCTTTAAAGGTGTTTTTATGTATAATAATTTTATAAATGAATATATTCAAGATTTGTGATACCAATCCATTGAATATTGTCTTAACCATTTAAATATTGTTCCAAGTTTCAGTATTAGACAAATTTATACACGTTCTGTTTTATTTTTATCTCTATTTTACATATGAGGAAAAACTTTTTAAGTAATACACTGGTACAGTTCACAAAGTTTTATTTTCTTGTTTCAATGACTAAAGATCAACTAATGCAGGCCAAAGGGGAAGTTATAGCTATACCCTTACCAATTAGAAATTATCTGCAAAAGTTTATAAAGTGTATTTGCTCAAATTAACATTTCCACTCTAGCTGAGATTTATTTTACTCATTTAAAAAGAAAGCTTTGTCACACACAGTGATTAATTGCCAGCATCTGGGATATCTGAGATGGGATTATTGCTTCTGCTATGCATCTCAACTTAATATTTAACCCTCTTTATATGTGTAAATGTAGTCACTGAGAGAGTGCTGCAAAGCACTCATTTAATGATTACAGTATTAAAATGAAATCGTAAGTTCTAAAGATGTTTAAAAAATAGTGACAGTGTTTCATTGCATTCTTCAGTTCAAAAACTCTTCAGATGTTTATTATCTTCTCACAGAAGATGCTTGTCTATATTTTATGGTCAGCAGTTCACAGAAGAGTAAATAGGTTGGGTGTAGAAGAAAATAAAAAAGGTGTTTCTACTTACTGTTAGGTGATACTGCCTCCATATTTCTGGGCAAGCCTGGAAAATAAAAATATTGATCAGCTAGGAGCATGAAACAAGGTGCTTTACAGCCTGTTGGTTTTGGCATAACACAGTATCCACCGGTGTCGGTCACAGGAAAATAAGAAGCTTAACTGAAAGGGTCTGCATTTCAGCTTCAAAAACCTGGCTAGACAGTTTAATTGAATTTTACACTGGTTTAACACACTCCCTGCCATTGTCAGAAAGCCAGTAACAGTTTTCTCTCTCCCCTTCTTCTCTGAAGGTTAGAAGTTTGGGAGAGTAACGTGCTCTTAACTGCAATAAGTATTAACACTGCAAAACAAACAGAAATTAATTTAAATTCTGCGTTTTCTGACATTTTAAATTTACATAATGTTTTGGAAATTAAATCACAAGGTACCTTCCTTTCTTGTAGGAATAGAAATATTTTAGTATTTTTGTACATATCTCTATCCTAATCAAAATCTAATTGTTACATGTAATAATCCTCAGTAGCCTAATGTCAGATGAGTAGTAAACAAGAAGCATAACAGATTGCTTTAATGTTTCTATTTTTATAATGGCTTGCTTCATTTTTTTTTTTTTTTACTTTTTTTTTTAAACTTGCCAGACTCGCACACAAACTTGTAAGTGCAGCCCTTTGTAAAATATTCTGCAGAGCAGATTTTTGAATCACCGCAATAACACAATAGACCTGAGGAATACATAAGAGACAGGAAAGAGGAAAATGTGGATCTTCTTTAAACAAAATCAGAATGTGTTAATGATCAATGAGACAGAGGTTACTTTCTCAAGGGTTCTCAATATTTTTACAAAATTTACAGTATTTCTGTCTCCTGCTATGACCCCCAAGCCATGAACAGACACAGAAATAGTGGTACTTTGTCTGTTAGCCATTTTAGTGTTTAAGAGAGTGTGCACACAGTTACTTCAACGGAGGTCTTTCACTTTTGTTTAAAACATGTAACCTTTTATTAAAATAGCTCCTTAATCATTTGAACAATTAGCAATTTGGTTTGCCAATCTCAATTTTCAGTATTTTAAGAAGAAATATTAGTTATTCTGTGGCTTCTACATAATATGCTGTAGCTCCAATTTCAAACATTGAAGCCTCATGACTACTTGCAAATGAGTACTATTAACATTTCTTTAGATTTCGAATAAATTTTTCGCTCATGCCTAAATTCTTGCCTTCTTTTATTCTGACAGAGCATGTTAATTAAAAAAACCACACCCAACAACCAATATAGGCAACTGAATCTCTCAAAAAATAATCCAAGTTTTTGACAGTCACCCTATGGCATATACAGTATGTTTTTCCTGGATGTGATGGAAATGATTTTATTTATTATTCATTCTGTTAGTAACACAATTTTCTGGAGAAAAATCTACAATCTGTTCTGTGTAATGGTTCAACATCTCTCCACTTACTCAAATACTGCATGTAAATATTTGAGTTTTATATTAATATTTCTATAAAGAAAACGTGTGAAGTGCAACACATTTCTAACAGAGGAACAGACTACAACATTTGACAGTTTGAACACACTCAAGCTGTCTTCCGAGTGCAAACAAAAGGATTTTCCTCCTTCGCTAACTTACACAGGATTGGGAGTCACGATATATAAAGGCTCTCTAGCGTATAAAAATATTCTATCAAAGACCTTGCCTTCTCTCTCAAACCTGTAAAAGGCTTCAACTGTACAAGAGACTTTTGCTGGTTTAGCACAGGGGTAGCAGGCAGTTATTTATACATTAGTTCTGGATAGTTTTCGATTACCACAGTGTCCCCAGACTAATATGGTTGAAAAATCGCAATCAATGAGTTGTCACATACTGGCAAAATGCCACTCTGTGATATGACCTTTACTCACACAGCAGCTATTTAATAATAAAAAAAAATAAATTACTTTATTTTTGAATAATAGTTTGGGGTTTTTTTGTGTTTTTTTTTTATCTCTGGACACAAAGACATCACTTACAGCGAGAATCTGTAACGCAGAGTAGGAAACTACAGTTGGCACAGCTCTTACCAAAACACTGGAAGAGGCACAGTCCCAACATCTCAGCAGTGCTATCAAGAGGTAGGTTTTATCATCACCGTCTTTAAGGATGTTTTAAGGCTGTGGGAAAACTTAAGGGAGGTAGGAAGAAGGGGGTAAGGGAAAATTGGCCAAGCATATTTCTTCATTCAGATGGTGATTCGGTGTAATACTTTTCATCATCACAATGATCACTTACGAACTTCAGAAGTTGAATACAATAGTGGAAAACAGATGCCTGGCTAAACAACAGCTTTTTAGAAACGATGCTTTTAACTAGGAGTCTTATTACCTTGCATCAGCTTGGAGTTATTGTCTGTATCTTCTATCACGGAATGACAAAAAGTATAATTAACAATTACTACCGAATACTGGCTTCTCAAATGAAGCAAAGAGGTTTGCTATGGAAGAGAGCATAACCAAATACAACAACCGCCGAACCTGTGATTTTTCTTATTTATTTAAAAGTACTTAACCATGAATGGCCCGCATTTAAAGAAAAGCCCTTGTGGTATACAAGTACGATGGCAGTGTGATGAACTACATTAAAATAAAATTGCATTTATTTCCTGCCCCAGTGGTCTGACCTTACTAGCATTTAGATGTACCAGCACAAAAGGTGCCTACTCTTAAAAGCAGTGCCACGGCGGCACAGCAGCCGAAAGCGCGGGCGAGGTGCGCTTCCCCACACCTCTCGCCACGTCCGCGTGCCTTTTGCCGCACGAGTGCCGGGCAATTAATTTCCCCAAATTCGTGCCGTTTCTGCCGCGGCCCGCATTCGGTTAATTCGGGAAGGGCGATTATTCGTATCCGAGCCTGATCCGGCTGAGGTCGCCCCACCAGATGAATCGAGGCTGCATACTGCGCATTTTGACCCGTATTGAATTTTATCAGGTGCTAATTATTGTTTTACCAGAACAACGGCTTAATGCATCTGTTGTTTAATTCCCACTTCCCCATTCTCAAACGTGAACATCAAAGAAAATAAAACACTCAATCTCAAACAGCCCCTGACAGCAGACCAGGACTCGAGTGCTCAATAGACAAGGCCCTTGCCACCAGTTCTCATATTTCCACAACAATGAGCAAACACAAAAACAGCACTAAGCGGCCTTTCCTCCTTTCCGCTCCCCTTGGCCGGTCGTCTGCCTTGCGCCGAGAGGGCCCTCGACGGCAGCCCTGCTGGGAGCGCGGCGCGGGGGAGAGGATTAGCCTCGCTAACATGCGAGCATTTGCAAAAGGGAAGGAAAAACCCCGCTACTGTATTTGGCGTATGAATAACCAAAATGCACGCGCTGACAGGAGACCGGGACGGGCCTGCGGCTCCCCGGGAGAAAATGTAGCTGTGATGAGTGACAGGGCTTTCAGGAAATATGTTCACAATCACAGACAGTGAAGGCCATGACCTAGATCGTTTAAGAGCTTGTCTTGTCAAATTATCAAAAGCTTCTTCCTCTCTGAATAAAGAGTGACATAAGTGAGTGTCAGAAAGCTGCAGGCTGACAAGCCAAGCATACAATAACAGCATGCACGTCACATACTTGCCGAACACCGCCACGGCTAGCGGCAAATCTTAATGAGAGCGCGGCTGGCCCAGGAGACTTGGGTCCCTGCTGGCACAGCTACTCATCTCGCAAAAATCCTTCAGCTCCAAGTCAGTTATGGTCTGACACGACGACTACAATTACTAAACACAACTTTTTAACAGAATCCTCTGGTGCTTTGTCAAAGCGGCGGCTGCTAGGAGCTGCCCCGCCGCAAGCCACCACAATAAAACAAAAGATTTGCCAAAACACACACTTTTCATCACCTCCGCATGGGAACTGCCGCAGGAAAACACACAATGCTTCCCTTCAGAACCACTCCTGCACGAGCAGCTGTCGAGACCTCTCCCCGTGCCACCACCGCAGACGGCCGCTGCCGCTGGCGCGGAGCAGGCCGAGCTGGCTAACCGCCGGCGTCGACCGGGCTCCCGGTAACGTTTACTTACGCTTACCATTAGGCGGATAGCGACTTCGCCGCAGGCGTGAAAAACGGGGGACGCCGCTGGGGAACGAGGGAAGGAAGGGGGAAATCCCGCGCTTTCTGCCAAGGCGCCCAGGCGGGGGCCCACGGCCACCAGCCAGCCACCCCCCCGGACTTGCCCCCCCGTACCCCCAGCCACACCCCCGCCGGCAAGAGGCGGCCACGTTCCCCCCCCGTGGCAAGCACCAGCACGGGTTCCGAAAACGACAGAAAGCAGAAGAAAATCTTCGGGAGAGAAGAGGCCGACAGTGGTTTACACGGCCGGAAAAGGCGTCAGGACACGGGGAGAAGACTGGGGGCTGGTTCCTGGGAAGGAGCACCGCTTACGGGGTGCATGGGGTACGCAGACACGCGTGTTGTCTTTACACGAAGGGGGACGGCGGGCGCAGCGTGGATGAAGAGCGCCGGGAACCTGGGCGCTGCCGGCTGAGCTCGGACAGCTCGCCAAGCACCCGCGCGCCGTTTTTCCCTACGTATACAAGGAGACACTGCCCTGCCCGCCACGTTTGCCTCCTCCCTGCCACATCACCCCGTTTACAAAGTCCTTTTCCCATCCGTGCAGCTGGCAGGTGAGGCTGTAGACCACAAGCCTCATGACATCCACCCAGCTGCCACCGGACCTGCAAAACGCAGGATGTCCACAGCATGGGGTTTTCAGCGTATACACACACAAGCATAAGTGTGTATATATATATATATATGTATGTACACACACACGCATATATAGACACACCTGTGTAAGTGCACACCATGTCCGATGTGCTCTTTCCCAGGGGGAGCAGCATACGGCCAAAAAGAGCTGCACTTGAAACTTTTGAACATCTCCGCCACCTGCTCCCCTGACGACCTTCCTGAGGAGAGCGCACGAGGTGGAGCTACTTCCAACACAACTCCCTCTAAGATGCCTCCATATGTTCTCAGGGCTGTCTCAGGGAAAGAGACTGACCT